ATGACATTAGTTTCACGCTGATGAGTTAGTTTTAATTGGTGTAACTTTTTCCAGTTGACAGACTTTGGGCTTTCTAAAGTTGGTCTTATCAATAGCACAGATGACTTGTCTGGTCCAGCAGTCAGTGGGACATCCATGATGGAAGATGATGAATCTCACCTATCTGCATCTGAGCATCAGCAGGAGAGGCGGAACAAACGTTCTGCAGTAGGTACACCAGACTATTTGGCGCCAGAGATCCTTCTGGGAACAGGGCATGGTTTGTATCTATGTTTTTTCAGTCTGTCTTCTTTGACAATGAATAACTGATTATCCCCGAACATGGCAGATATGCAATCATTTTAAGTTATCAACTTGATAATGTTGTCGAATTAAGTCCCTTTTCCCTTTTCTTCACAAGTCCCAAGTCCCGGTAAAGAAGGATTGCAGTAGGTTGAGTGTTGTGTTAACGCTTAATTGTTGTTACATCTACATTACATTTGATTTTTGTCAGTAGTATGTTTCTTTCTGTATTGATTAGAAACTTGTATGCTGGAGATAGGCATGGTTTCATAATCTCTGGTTCTAAAGAACCCTTAATTTGTCTCAATAGACAAATTACTTAGTATTGGATGCATTTACATGATTAGAGCAGATACAGATATATAATTGATCCAAGTAACTTGGGTTTGATTGATTACTAAAATTGGATATTGTACTACATAGTTGGGCCTCTAGAAGATGGTAGAGACGATATAGGGCATGAGACTTTTGGTCCCTCTAGCCCTCATGTGTGTACTATGGAAGGAGAGAAGTGGAGAGTGTTTTGAAAGGATAAGAATGACTTTGTACATTTGCATAATAGTCTTTTCTTTTGTTTGTTGTTAATTTTGGTGCACCATGAGAACCCTGATTGTATAGAAGATTGGGTGTGTTCTGGAGAGGACCATATTTTTGTACAAGCTCTACTTTTTGGTAGACTGCTTGTATACAAGAGCTTTTCTCACATCAATAAAATTATTTACCTTGTAAAAGAAAGTAGATATGGTACTATGCACTTATGCATGCCATAGAGGTTAAATTTCTTGGAGAGTAACGAGGATGAGTTAGTGGACAGCAGGACAGGTTTGAAGTTTCTTCCAAATTATTGCTTTTCATGGAAACCGGACATTGAACCTTTGTCGAAATAGTCTCGTGTTAGAAGTTTGAATATATGTCTAACCTGGCATTCTTATAAAACAATTGGATTTGACAGCATTCTTTTTTTTTGCGCCTTTCTGTTTGCTATTTAGTTCTTAGGCTACATAATTCTTTTCAGGTTTCACAGCTGATTGGTGGTCTGTGGGTGTTATTCTCTTTGAGTTGATTGTCGGTGTTCCTCCTTTTAATGCAGAGCATCCTCAGGTTAATATGTTGTCTTCTTATTTGTATCTTTATTCCTTATTCTTCCATCTAGTTTGTTAACCCTTGGGTCTGAAGGAGTAGTACTGCACTACCCATTTAGCCTTGGATTAGTTTATATATAAAAGATAAAAGAAAAAAGCCCCTAATGTTGCTCATGCTTTATATTATGGTGCGTTTAAGTCAATGCAGTTTAGGAGGAATCAAGGAAAAGATATTGACTCAAATCTTGTATTTCGATGGAAGTTCGAAAAAGAAAAAAGAAATGGTCAAGACATTTTAGCTCTTTTATCTGATGTCGAGCAGTTCGATGTATGTAACTAGGAATGGCAATGATGCAGGGCAAGACCTTAGCGGGGCAGGGAAGGGCAAGACTTTAACAGGGCAGGGAGGTTAAAATTTAGTTTTGAAAATCCGTAGTAGGGAAGGACGGGTCACAGGACCAGCTAAGATTCTGTGCGAGATGCACTGGTTTTAAACTTGGAAGATGCTGGTTCTGCAATTGCTCTAGGCAGCCAAGATGCCCGATTGGCCTCAGTATAATTAGTCTAGTTTCATAATTCATTTAGTTGATGTTATTATAAGAATAATAATAATAATAATAATAATAATAATAATAATAATAATAATAATAATAATAATAATAAAAGCTTTAAAGAGCTAAAATTTGCGCATAAATTCAACATGTATAAAATCAGATAAATAAGCTGAATACGACAATTGAGCANCTTTGACGTGGTTGCTCTTTTGGTCTAAGTATACCTTATGGATTTTATACATCGTTTTCAAATAATACGGACTGAGAACATGCTGATAATATTGGACCTATGGTTAGTTATGGGTCTAAAACTTGGCATTAATTAAAAAAGGCTGCTGAAGTACATTTTATCTAGATACTGAAGTTAGACATAGCTTTTCAAGAACTTATCCACTGCGGCTTGCAAATTTTGACATTGAATCAATCTAACTGAAAATAAGATGGTCTGACTACATGATTCAATCTAAATAGTAGCAATCTACATAAAGTGACCATCTGTCAAGGTATCAATGTCGTTCAACAGTATTGGTCAAATGAACAACACAGGAAGGAAACTAGCTGAAAGAAAAAGAGAATATGCAAAGTGAAACAAATCGATAAAATGAAAGAAAGTATAAACAGGGTAGGGCCGGGCAGGGAAGGGAAAACTTGAAAAAATGCTAATAGGAGCAGGGGAGGGTTTTGATTTGG